GGCAAACCTGCCATGGCCAAATGCGATGGGACCTGTGGCCGTCGAATTGCAACGAGCGCACGGTCCAAGGATGCAAAAGGCAGCTTGCAATAGAGCGCGTATACATATATGCATATATGAATATATTATTATGATACACTATATATATATATGTACATATATATATATACAAATATGGTCACCCTTGATGGGTCTAGCTTTCCTCTCTTCTAGTTGAAAGTGTCAAGTCTATTGCGCCTCGTTCTTGCAGATGCCTGGAAACACTGTAAAATTAGTGTTTTTGTTGGTGTTTTACCTTGTATATGACAGCAAATATTTGCTTTGTTTAAGCTTGAAAGGCAACAAAGCAAAAAACGGAATCCGTTTTCAGATTCAAGTCTGGCTTTGTTTGACAACACTGGCTTTTACAATGGTTTTGAGTACACCATGCAAAAATGTTTTGTGCAGCTTTGAGCTCTGCAACCTGCACAAGCCCAAAAGCACACAATCTCCTGAAAATGAAAGCTCTGAGACCTGCACATGCCAAACAAATCTCCAGACCAAATTTGGGAGTCTGGGGATATTTGCCCAGCGTTTGTTTAGCCACATTTGTCTAAATCATTTTAGGGAATGGGACACTATTAAAAATTGTTTGCAAAAGCCAAGTGATTTCTTTCCAGATTAAGCTCTATTCCAATTAAAACCACATTTGGGAAGGGATTCCTAATTAATTTCATATGTTCAAAAGCAAATTGAATTCTGTGTGCATTAAAGTATATTGAAGACTCAACTGAAATGTGTTTTTTTTATTTGGAAAGGTGTTCCTACTCAAATTCTGATTAATGTAGCAATTATGGTGAATTATGAATTGTGGTGAACTATGTCCTTACTAAATTCTATTCAACATTCAAATGGAAAGGCATGTGTATTTGGACATGTTGGAGGACTCCAGTCTCCAAATCATGAGGCCTGGATAATCCAACATTAAACATTCGAGGATTCCGAACTCCAGATTCTACAGCATTTTCCCTTCAACATTCCAACTCAATCGGCAGTAGTTGGAAAGGAATCTATATTTGGACATGTTGGCGGACCCCGGCTCCAAATATGAGGCTGGGAGAATACAACATTCGACATTTTGAGGATTCCGATCTCCAGATTCTAGGTTTAGGTGTTCCAAAATGCTGAAAAACACGGTGTTTGGCAGAATTTGCGCAGATTGTGCTCCATTGGACAGAAGATTTGTTTTTTCCCAAACAACATTTTCCCCAAACAACAGTATCCCTTTGCTACGCATTAAGCCTACATCAGGTTTATAAACTTGCAGGAAACTTTATAAACCTTCTTGAGTGTTTGCCGGTTTCCTTCAACAAGGCAACACCCTGGGAAGTCTTCATGTGGTATCCTTGAAGGGGGGGGTTGGCAGTCTCGGGGGGGGGGGATCGGCGGGTCGATGTGCAAAAGCTGAGAGCGTTTTACGACTCTTGCGGGGCGCGCGCTGCCTTCTGTAGGGATCGGCGTGGTCGAGGCACAAAGACTCGTTAATGTTTTTGCTGCGCCCGCGACACCCTCTGCGTGGATCGTGCGGGTCGGATTTTTTGCCTCTCTGCATTTCGCTGTCTACTTTCCCTGCGCATGTCTGTGTGCGTCTCACTGTCTGTCTACTTCCCCTGCGCATGCATCTACGCACTTCGCTCTGCACTTGCCCTACGCATGCCATCTTTGCTTTGCCTTTCACTGTCTACTTTCCCTGCGCGTGCCTCTATGCACTTTCTCTACGCATGCCTCTATGCGTTTCACTGTCTACTTTCCGACTTTGCAGCCGGAGCTGCGGGGAAGTACTGCGCGTACTACCTTTGTACATTCAAAGTTACGACTTTGCAGCCTGATCCCTGCAGACGGTCGTGCGCAGACCGCGAAGATATGCGAGGGTTCACACGGGACCACAGCGAGAGCGATCTGACACGCACAACCTCCACTCAGATTCGCGCGCGAACCGCGAAGATTCGCACGGGGCCGTAGGGAAAGTGGACAGTGAAATGCAAAGAGGCATGCGTAGGGCAAGTACAGAGTGAAGTGCGTAGATGCATACGCAGGGAAAGTAGACAGTGAAATGCATAGAGGCATGCGCAGGGAAAGTAGACAGTGAAATGCACAGAGGCATGCAGGGAAAGTAGACAGTGAACCGCGTAGAGGCATGCGTATAGGGCAAGTACAGAGGGAAGTGTATAGATCACAGGGAAAGTAGGCAGTGAAATGCACAGAGGCGTGCGCAGAGTAGGCTGCGTGTCATGAAAAATGCTTTCGGGCCCCTCTTCTAGTTTCTCTGAGCCAAAAGAGGGACGTGTTGTGACTCCCAAAAAGAGGTCGCAGAGACTGGCGAAGAGCACCTCCAGCTCACAGCCTCAAAAACGGGGACAGTCTTCGTGATCGAAAATGGGGACGCAGGCACAAGCATTTTGGCAGTGGCTGTGGGAGGGCGGGGGGAGGGGGGGAAGGAGGGCCCCTGGCCAGGCGCCCAGGTGTTGCCTTGTTGCAGGGAAGCCGTCAAACCCTTGACACAGTTGATAAACTTTCCTGAAAGTTTAGAAACTCTTCGCTGTTGTTACTCAACATGACTTGTCGCCCACACAAAAATACAATAACAGCAAACTTCTTGCGTATATGTGCTCACACCCTGCCTTTAAAAAAGGAGGATTTTGTACATTTTGAAGTGGCCCTGCGCGGGGGGAGGGGAGTGTGGAGCATACATATATACATTGCGTGGGAAAGTAAGAACATGTTTGCAACATTAACTTTGAACAGCATCGACTCCCTTCAAGCTGGCCAAAAAACACCGGCTTGCGTTGGCCTGCGTGACATCGTGTCCCAAGTTTAGTGCGCGGCAACCAACATGAGCAGCGCCCGAAACCCATTCATTTTGGGTTCTACCAAGATAGCTGAAAAGGCTTGTACTTGTAGCTCCCCTACTGTAACGCCGGTAGCTACGAGAGGCTGGCCTGTTCAAAAATAGCCTTGTCTAACCAGGACCTTCGGATCAAGGATTGCCTGTGAACAGCCCAACCAGGAGGTTTGGACGCTGCTCAAACGATCAAGCGCCCCTGCCTGTTTGCATGATTTCCTCCAGCACCCAGCAGGGGCGTAGTCCAAATGCGCCTCGCCGGCCATCAAGCAGCACTTCAAGCTTGCGTGAGCCACGGACAAAACTACGTTTGGCCCAAGAGGTCCTCCCCAAGACAACACTTGGCCACCACGCGCGTCAGTCGAGCGCTGGTTGAGTGAGAGGAGGGGAGGGGTGAGTCCCGTGCCGGGGGCACCTAGTCTCTAAAGAGAGGATACTCGCTGTGGTAGCAGTCTCTATGGGCCTGGATCTGTTCTGAACGAGAATGTGCTGACCTGATGGTTGGCGTTGTGGAAATCCCTGGTCAATACAATGTCTGAACAAGTGCTGAGAGCGAGCGCAGCTCTATTGGTAGAAAAAAGGGGCCTTGAGGCAACATGTGTGCGTGAGAAAACTGATTGCCTAAAGGCCAATGGTCGGGGAGGGGGGGAGGGGGGGGAAAATGACTTTGTTCGGAAACCCAAAAGTTTTGGCCCAATCAATGTCTCGTTCCTGCTCAAGGACCCCAATTCGCCATGCTCCTTGTTTTCTAAGAAATCTTCTGGAGTTTTTGCATTCATCGTCATCCTGGACAGGTGACTCTTTTTCTGTGTTGCTTCTAGAAGCCCACACGCTTTCGGGGGAAGTGGTAACCCCCGCATCACCTGTTCAACCGTGCTGAAACATGTTATTTTGATGCAGCAGTGCGCTTGCCAACCCTTGCTTCTTCATGTCAGCCATGCTTCAACTCCATCGGCCTCCGCAGTGTGAAACGCAGGTGTTCTTGGACATGCTGGCCAGTCACCGAGTCTAACCAACATGTTGTTTCATCATATTTTCCGAATTGTACTGTGGAACAAGCTTCAGCCGCTCCTTCGCTGCTTGAGGCGAGAAAAGGGAAAAATGCAAAAGTTGGCAGTGTCGCCTTTCTTCCCCTGCGGGTCGCACGTGTTTTGACTTTGGCCCCGAAACACACACACACACACACGAACACAGGCCCTGGCACAAAGTTGACCAAATTTCGGTTTGATCATCTCTTATAGGAACGGCCCCGAAACCCGCCCCCAGCCCGATCAGCCATTGAGGAAAAAAGGGCGCCCTTTTTTAGTAATTGATTTAAGAAACGGGTTCCCCCCTCCAATACAAAAGATACAAGGAAAACAGGCCACTACTGGGCGTCTGGGAAAGCGCGCAGGCCCCTCACACTTACTTCTGAGGTGCGAAGAGTCCATCATCGACAGCGGCGGGTGGTTAGCCACCCAAATCAAATCCATCCGCGTGTGGATCAACCACTTGAACTGCCGCCGCCGGCGCTTCTCGTAGCCTCCAGGGCGCGTACTATAAGGGCTTACAGAATGAGAATGGGGTTGTAGGGTACTCTAAACCAACATTTGTCATGTTTATACTTTGTTGGCCCCCCGGTCCGTGTTGTCCGCTGGCTTCCCTGAACTTCAATCCTGGCCTGTTTAAACGGGAGCCATATACGCACCTACATCCAACCATGTCCGTGACAAAACAGGGTTGCGAATCGCAGCCGTAGGGCTGCCGATTTTTCTTGAAACACCACTCCTCCAAAACTAACTTGACCTTGACCTAGGTGATGTTCAAAACCTCTCCACAAAGTGAGACCTCTGAAGAAACAGCATCGGCGCCGCTCTCGCCGCTCTCGCCTTTGACGAGATCCAGCGCTATCCTCGGTTCACACTCAGCATAGCCGCAAACAAATCATGTTAACAAATTTATGAGCAAGAATCGGAGAAATTAATTACCCAGCAATAATTTATTTGAGACCCTCGAACGCTCGAAAAAGCAAACATATACACCATCACACTCAATCAGGCCCGTTTACGCCACCAGTGTATTTGCTTGTGTCTCCAAGAAGCGTGGAGCACGAGCGGGCAAGAACGCGTGGAACATTAGC